TTACCCTACCATGGACATCCACAATCTGGCGGGATGGTATGTAATACACTAACGTTTAAGTGACGTATTAAAGTGCTGGATATCGATCTGAGACTCAGTAATTACATCTCCAAGTCACAAAATATTAATTGTTGTTGTTATTCACTCATATGATCATTATTTTGATTCATAAAATGTATTATCATATTTGCGTAAGTAAGAGTGTCATATTGATATTGTAGTATGTCACATCTAAACTAATTAAATACTCAACGCAACTGGAGAGTATTCAAGTTGTCAGGGTAATAATATGTGAAATCGCACGATACACTAAAAATGTATTGTTGCCCCCCGGGGGGGGGGGTATCTTTGAATAAAATATGGTACGCAAGCTGAAGTAAATCTGCGTAAAAGGGGTGTTATTTAGTCATGTGACTGTATATGCGTGTACCGTGTTTAGGGCCGAATATTATAATTATATATATAAGTGTGAAAATATAAAGTATTGAAAAAATAAATCTCATGAATTCATCCTACCTCAACTTGGAAACTTGGAGTTTAGTATATATATAGGGTATCTATTTTAAGTTTCTGCACTTGAAAAGGGGAATAATTTCACAAATAAAGCATAGGTACCAGGTCTGACTTGGAGCACCCCCCCCCCCCGATTGTGACCGTGGTCGTTATGTTTCTAACTCTTAAACGTTTGTAGTATGCTCAAACTGTGAATAAATGTGAAATGTTGAAATAATCTATGGTACAAGTGGGAACTAACCTTCCAAAAAGGTTGAGAAAACCAATTGTTGGCGTGTTGCTTGTTGCAGTGCTTTATTTACCGATAGAGAGCGCGATTTCGTGTTTCCATGGCTCTTACGTTCTCTACGGTAGCTGATTTGGCTACGTAAACCTTTTGATAATTTCAAAAGACTGGCAAAACAAAGACTTAATTCAATAACATTTCCGGAGTTTATTTGAAAAGTTACCATCTGTATTTGGAGCGTTAACTTGGGTATATATAATGTTTCAGTGATGAAGTATCGACCAACCTTAAACGGCAGTCGTCGTGCCGCGTCCTCAGTATTCGATATGTTTTTTATTAACATTACCAAACAGATTACCATATTCTGTTCGACTTACGCAGTCAAATTCTGACCTACCTCTTGTAGAACCGGATGTGACATCATACCAGTGCACCATTTCGCCTTATCCAATAAGATTTCGTCAAACGCTTCCTCACCGCACGTTGTGAGATTTAATAATACTCTCGGCGATACCAGGGTTTTCCCCTCGAATTTCCCACCGTTAACTAGTATATTTAGTAGTTTTGCTATCGATCTTGCCGAACCAATGCCATTGAACCCTGGAATCTCTGTTGATCTGTATTCCTCCCCATTCATTTTATATATCTACTGAAAAAAAAATGCTTTTTTGTTTTTTTCCCCACAGTCACAAACACTGATTCAGTTTACCCCAAACTGATTGATCTTTCGAACAACACATCCCCAAAACTTCAAATATTGATTGTTCAAAAATAAACATGTTCTGGTGATCGGTGTTTATGAACCGTGATCGTTTATGCAAATGAACGCTCTACGGAGTCTTGAATACCCGCTCACGAAATGCGTCCCTGAGTTAGTAGTGTGTTTCTAATTGTTTGACCTTAGAATGTCAAAGTCTTAAACTGGTATATGTCTTCTTCGTCAAATTCCTAGATAAGATAAAACATAGGCTACACTTGTTTGATAAATCTGATATCCTGTGGTTACTGATAAAATATTTCCTGGATTTATTTTTCAAATAGCTAAGACGTGAATACTGACATGACTTTAATGAAACTGAAAAAAACACTAATATTGATTCCTATATCCACTTAACCATATATAGAGAATTTGTACAAGCTTACCGTCCACATTATGTCCCCTCCTTTAATAAATACTTGTGACGCCATATCCTCGTATCTCAAAGATTTCCACGTACGTGACCATATCGACTGAAGTAATGGGTGCAAAGAAAACAGTTCTACATTGTTCGTACTTTGTAAGTCAGCGACGTGTTGATGTAGATGCCCGGGTAAACCTATATAAAAGTCAATATCTGGCGAAAAGAAAACACATACTATTGAGAAACAAGACACATCACTTGTATATACTTTCTCCGTTTATTTAACACAGCTTTACTCATTATGTTACCTGTTAATCAAAGAGCAGTGGCATGCCAAGAAACAGACCTCAGATGCAAATGGCCGACGAGATCTCGTTGAGTGCGAGAGAGTCACGAGACTTGCCCCTCAAATAATGTTTCTGTTTCTGTCCACTGTTCTATATGTGTATACAATGTCAGTGGAAAAGTGAACGCCATGGCAGGAAACAATGAAACACTATTTTAGGGGACGAAAACAAGCTCTCTCGCTCTTAACGAGATCTCGGCGGCCATTTCTTTTTGTAAATCATATTTTGCCAAGTCCGCATTACCAGTTGAGTATTTTGTGCGCTCTTACTGCTTATTTATAAAAGGAATGAATGAGAGACAATCGCGTTTACTCACCAAACGGCTTTGCAATCACGTCGTCAAAGAATTGTCCTAGACTACGGTGCAAGGGATCCACCCGTCGAATAATTTGATCAATAATCCAACCCATAGTGAGAACGTGGAACCCATGTGACTCACCAGCAGGCCACATGGGTTTTGTAGTTTCCAGCATATTTACTAATATTTCCTGATTGGTAGCCTTCGCGAGGGTCATACGTTCTGACGTCATTGGAACGCCCGCCTTTATAGAAATAAACACAAATCTTGAAAGAAGATATTAACATAGGAAACTGTGTGTGTGTAATTCCACGAAAGAGCAACAATTACAACATCTATAACTCCTATAATTGCCAATTCACTTCCTTGTTTCCATATATTGTGCATATCATCTTATAATCATATCGCACGCATGCGCATGACACAACAAATTATAATTAAGATGGCAATCCTAAACCCAGCAGCCAATCGGGGAGCAGCTTGTTTCTTTTTTTTCGACGAATCAAATTCTTCCTTGTACATATTCTTCGTATATATTATACCATTAAGCTGAAGCTTTGAAGAATTCAAGGTAGAGCTGTTTGTCGTACTGATGGGACTGTAAGTTGGGTCGAAGCTTTCCTAGTAGTGATATGTTGATGGTAATTGGAATGGGTCTGAGTACTGAACCATGTGGTATTCTAAAACGAAGATGAAGATATGATCGAAACTATCTACGGGCTAAACCAGTGATAGCAAGCTCAAACAAGCTCAAACAACCTGCTGACTAACTGTTAAATGATGGTCAATTGTGTCAAAATTGTAGATTTTTTCTATTTCCCAAGTTCAAATTGAGATCATTTAGGCGAAATTTAAGCCATTTTCTTTAAATGGAAATCGTGTTTGAACAAATTGTAAATGTTAGTTTGTTGCATTCTGTCCAATCATTATGACAGTGATTTACTTTTATCTTTGAATATATTCATTTTTAGTTTTAGTTTAATGCATTTTTTATCACAGGTTGTTTAGATTACCATTATTATCCTATTGCAATTGAAAAATATAGTTATTTTTTAGAAACAATACAATAGTTGTAGGTATTAAGTCAATTCAAACCTTGTTTTTTTTAAATCCGTGAATTAAAAATAGCCACTAGACTTGGGTGAAACGAATTTATCTGCGCGGGAGAGCTGAGGTTGGAGAATTTGTAATTACGTTGTGAATATACGCGACTTGATATAACATTAGAAAACATTAGAAACTAACAAAAAGATTAATATTATATAAATAATACAAGAAGTATAATGTAATATTGAGATATTTGCGTACTGCAGTGTCGGCCCTGATGTCAAAAGTGCTATCTAGTTACGTGAACGAATTAGAATACCAGGATTATATTACAAAGTATGGAGATGTAGAAATGTATTACCGTACTGAAAAGTCGCTAAATTATATGTCGTTTTTTTGATAAAAAAAAAATGTTTCAACATTATTAAGATTCGCATTAATAATAATATATAACTTTTTCTTCCAAGCAAATTTTTGGAGTATAGAGAATTTCACCGTGGAAACCAGTGTGAAAGGACAATTTTTGACCATATTCAATGACATTCCGGGCTCTTAAAAAAATGTCCTGGGATCTATTTTTTACATTTTTTGTGATCTTGATGGCATGAACTAATGATAATGAAAGTAATACGAACGTGATTAAATCTGTAATTCGGCTCAAAGAAACAAAAATGGTTACGTACACACTTGCTTAGCACTATTCATATGCAACGGCTAGAACGTCATTGCATGTGTTTATATTGGGAAATACAAGAGACGAACTCCATAATTCCACAGTATGACAGGTGCAGTGAGTTTTGTCATGATATCTAAACAGCGACGCAGTTTTGAATTTGAATTACGGAGTTTCACTTCTATCTTATGGCCGTAGCAGATTAGGTAACATATACACAATTGACTATAGATTTGATCAACTCACCACGTGGTTAAGTACATGTTTTATGGTAATATTGCCTTTTCCTTGTTGTGAAAACTCCGGCCAGTAGTGCGCCACCGGGTGATTGTAATCGGCATAGCCTCGATCGACCGCTACGGCCATGCACAGCGCCACCATAACGTTGGTGACAGAGAATGACATAGAAATTGTAGTTTCTTTCCACGGTTGTTCAGTCTTAGTGTTTGTATATCCACCCCATAAGTCGACTACTTTTTTATTTTTGTAATATACAGCAAATGCAGACCCGGCATCCAGTCCATCTCGATGAATCTCACTGAAATTGAACAAAGTTTGAACGTAAAAAGTTGTTTGAGCTAGTGTTACGTGATAGTCTAATAGCCTCTGACGTAAAGCAATCATTGATACCACAAGGCTCAACAATTCCCCTTATCACAATTATCGAAAACTAAAATCTGAGTTCCGTTTGATGAAATAGCGAACTTGAAATTGAATTATTAGTACGTCCATAATTCAATGTAATGTGTAGTCGTTCGACATCTGAAATAAATTAAAATATTTTAAAAACATGTTTTTTTTATTGAATGACGACTACAGATCAAAACGACATCGACTTTTGAACGGCATTCGTGTGGTGACAACCATGCGTCATATAAATGAACCACCGCTAGAGGGCGCGTTGTTATAAAAAAGGTGTATGTGTTTCCCACTTGCGACACTTTTAGCGGCCCAATAGTG